AAAGATAGAAGATGAGGTGAGTCTCTATCCTGGGAGGTATGGGAAGCCTTCAAAAGGTTTTAAACAGACAGCGGCTTGATTGGATGTACGTTAGAATAACCACCTCCCCTGCCCCCGAAGCTTTACTGTGACAAATGGATTGGATGAGTCCAGACCAGGAAGAGATGTATGTGACCATAAACAAATAAAACTAAATTTTAAAAAAACAGGCAGAAGGATCTTCACAGAACTGGACCTTGAAGAATGTGTTTGCCAGGAAAAGAGAATGAAGAAGTACGTTCTTATTGGAGGGAACTGCAGGTATTACAGTATGTGGCCCTTCAGGAAGGCAAAAGGAAACTAAAGGTTAGTGACATTTAACCCTCCATATGCCCCACATGTCCAGCTCACCAGTGTTAAATCAAGTTTAGCCTAAAGCTGTCTCCTTATGTATTTTAAGTTCAGCCTGAAGGTTTTTCTGTACGTCGTGAACTATAACAAGTGGAGATGTAAACAGAAGGTGGCCTACACTTGTGCCAATCACCAAGTTTTGGGCAATCAAATGTAGCCAACTGTTCGAATTGTGTTCAAATAAGGCAAACGCCAAGCTGTAATCAATCCAGCTGTTTCTGTACCTGACTTCGGTTTTCTGTACGTCACTTTCCTTTTTCTGTCCGTAAATCTTCCACCACATGGCTGTGCTGGAGTTTCAGCCTACTCTGGCCCGAGGCTGCCTGATTTGTGAATCCTTCATTGGCTCAATTAAACTCTATTTATTTATTTAGAAATGGAGTCTCGCTCTGTTGCACAGGCTGGAGTGCAATGGCGCGATCTCAGCTCACTACAACCTCCACCTTCTGGGTTCAAGCAATTCTTGTGCCTCAGCCTCCCGAGTAGCTGGGACTACAGGTGCCCGCCACCACACCCAGCTAATTTTTGTATTTGTAGTAGAGACGAGGTTTTGCCATGTTGGCCAGGCTGGTCTCAAACTCCTGACTTGAAGCCATCCACCCTCCTCAGCCTCCCAAAGTGCTGGAATTACAGGCGTGAGCCACCGTGCCCAGCCAATTAAACTTCTTTAAATTTAATTAGTCTGAAGTTTTTCTTTTATCACAAGTCACATCAGTCCCTCAGGCCCCTGCTCAAATGCCACCTCTTCCTGAAAGCCATCCCTAAGTAGTCTCTCCAAAGAGCCACCCCAGCCCCTTTCTTTGCTTTATCCTTCACAGCACTTATCACTACCTGAAATTATGCCACACAGCTATTTACCAATTTCACATTGTGGTTAAGCTTATCAAGTATGAAGTCAGACTGCCTGGGTTCAAATCCCAGCTCCGCTACTTCCTTGTCATGTGACCTTCAGTTGTTCAGCCTATGTTACAGTTGAGGGGTCATAATAGTATCTGTCCATAGGGCTTTGTGAGGATAAATGAATTAGTGTGTATGCCAGTGTTCTAACATTGCCTGCATTTCCATTTTTTCCCAAAGCAGCCCAATTACTTATTAACATACTGCTTTTCCAGTAACATGTGTTCACCGTTATTGTCGATCTCCTCCCGCCAAAATATAAGCTCTATTTTGTTTTCCATTGTATCCCCAGTGCCTAGAACAGTGCCTGTTGCAAAGTAAGCTTTGAGTTAAAACAAAAAAAAGATGAAAGAATGAAAATGGCAGACTGCCTAGCAGAACTAGCACTTCGTGATGCTTCATTGTTGCTATGGTGACGATCCAACCTGCACGAAGATCCCAGCTTCCTTAAGCTTGTTCTTACCTCCATCCAGCTCACCCATTGGCCACCTGTATCTCCTGCGGTAGCAGCCAGAAAACTACAACTCCCAGCAGGCTGAGCGCCACCAGCGCTTTCGCGCCCAAGTCCCTTTCCTAAGCGTGAGGGCCTGCGCAGTAGAATCCGCGGGCCCAGAACTCCGTCTGAGCTTGTGCATGTTGCGGGGTGTTTCCTTCGTCGGCAGGCAGGAGAGGAGTGGGGAGGACCCCTTTACCCACGGAGCATTGTGGGGCCCGCTCGGCTCTCCTTGTCCAAAGGGTCTGGGCCCCGGGGCTGCAGTCTCTGGGTGACGAGGCGGGGGCGGGAAACCTGCTTCGGTCTCCATGGTTACGAGCCGCTCAGCGCGCCGGAGGGGGATTCAAAGGTTGGCGTTGCCACAGTAACCCTGGAGTGGAAGGGGACGGGGATTAGAGACCTCGCGGGAGAAATTAGACTAACAGCCTGGGAACTGGAGGGATGGAGAGTGAGCGATCTCATCTCACTGCAACCTCTGCCTCCCGGTTTCAATCGATTCTCCTGCCTCAGCCTCCCAAGTAGCTGGGATTACAGGTACATGCCGTCACGCCTGGCTAATTTTTGTATTTTTAGTCGAGGCAGGGTTTCACCATTAGCCGGGCCTGGTGGCGGGCGCCTGTAGTGCCAGCTACTCGGGAGGCTGAGACAGGAAAATGGCTTGAACCCGGGAGGCGGAGGTTGCAGTGAGCTGAGACGCGCCACTGCAGTCCAGCCTGGGTGACAGAGCGAGATTCTGTCTCAAAAAAAAAAAAAAAATATATATATATATATATATATATATATGTGTGTGTGTGTGTGTGTGTGTGTATGTGTATATATGTGTGTGTATATATATATTTCCTTTGGGTCTTCTGCCATCTGAGGGTCAGCTACAGGAAAGGACTGGTTATGCTTTTGGTTGCAGAATGGCTGGAGCCAGGCCATCCCTGGAGAGGGAGGAACCTATGGCAAATTAATCAGAGCACAATCCAGACAGTCCGCCTGGAAGGAGGTAGCAGTTTGGCATATTCCTGAGTCCCTGTGGACTCTGTTTGGCTACAGCCACAAAAGCCTTTACTTCTGTGAGTAAAGTCAGAAATGTTGAAATGGAGTTTTCACAGTGCTCATAAAAGAGGCAGATGGACTACCCTGCACCACTCAACCATGGGTGCCCCAGCTGGTTTACTCCAGGCCCCACTCCCAGCATTGTAACAAGAGCTCCAAAACTGGCTCCCCCATGCCTGGGCCTAAGTCACTTGCCCCTCATGTAAATCTATAATTGTGATTAGGGGAGTGAAATATCCTTGGAGGTGGAGGTGGCAACAGGTTTTTTTGATGTTCGTAGGATGTGTGAGGAGCGGACGCTGGAAATAAGACATGGGTCCTTTTAAGAAGAGGGAAGAGGGATGGATGTTGGGTGGATAATCGAGAAACATCCATAACTGAGCACCAGGAGTTCAGTATCTATCTGTCTCCATCCACCTTCTGGGGTTATAACAGCAGGCATCTTGTTCATCACTGGAAACTCAACATATAGGCACCCAATAAATGCTAGTGTATTAAATAAAATAATTATTGAATCCTACTGACCACTGCTCTCTCTTATTATTATTATTTTTTAAGAGACAGGGTCTCACTCTGTTGCCCAGGCTGAACTGCAGTGGCATGATCATAGCTTACTGCAGCCTCAAACTCTTGGGCTCAAGTGATCTTCCTGCTTCAGTCTCCCAGGTAGCTGGGACTATAAACATGTGCCACCATGTCTGGCCTGACCACTCTTTAAGAAAAATAAATCTCAATCCTAGTGTGTGTCTGCCTGCCTCCCTGCCTGCCCGCCCTCCCTCCCTCCCTCCCTCCTTCCTTCCTTCCTTCCTTCCTTCGAAAAATAGGCTGAGTGTGGTGGCTCATGCCTATAATCCCAGCACTTTGGGAGGCTGAGGCAGGTGGATCGCCTGAGGTCAAGAGTTCAAGACCAGCTGACCAACATGGTGAAATTCCATCTCTACTAAAAATACAAAACTTAGCTGGGTGTGGTGGCAGACGCCTGTAATCCCGGTTACTCAGGAGGCTGAGGCAGGAGAATCACTTGAACCCGGGAGGCAGAGGTTGCAGTAGGCCAAGATCCTGCCATTGCACTCTAGCCTGGGAGACAAAGTGGGACTCCATCTCAAAAAAAAAAAAAGGAAAATAAATCTCAGTGCTAGTCTTGTCTCCCCTTCCCTCCCATCCCCTCCCCTCCCCTCCCATCCCTTTCCCCCTCCCTCCCTCCCTCCCTCCCTTCCTTCCTTCCTTCTCTTCTCTCCTCCCTTGTAGGTGTGTGCGTATGTGTGTGTATCTGTCTCTCTTTCTCCCCCAGCACTTTCATATGAGCAGTCTCTCCTTCAGGCTGGCATCATGTTGTTTACATCACCTCTCTAAGCTTCAGCCTCCCATGAAATAGGGACAGCAAGAGTGCTGATTTAATGATATTGCTGTAAGGATTAAATGCAACTGTGCATAGGAAGCATTAGCCAAGCACTTGACACACGGTGTGTTCGATAAACAACAGCAACAACGATGATCACGGGGATCTGATTCATTTATTTTTCAGGAAACGTTTATCAAGCATCTGCTACCTGTCCCACCCTGCAGTGGGCATTGGGGAATGGCCAAGCAGATGAATGAGATCAGGTTCCCCTCCTCCAGGAGTGCAGCGTGGTAAGTATGACAGACATATAGGCACACAATGATAATATCAGGACATTATGTCCAGTTGTGGAGATATGATGTACAGTGAGTTAGAGGTGCACAGAGCAGGGATCCAGAACCCAGCAGAGTGTGTGGGGAGGTCAGCAAATCTAAGGCAAAGTCTCCCAGAGGAAGCAAGTATGCTGAAGTTAAAGGATGTGGGAGTATACAGGAAAAGAGGCCATGAGGGGAATCCCAGCTGTAAAAAAAAAAAAGTCATGATTGCAGGGTACAGTGTGTCACGCCTATAATCCCAGCACTTTGGGAGGCCAACATGGGTGGAATCGCTTGAGCCCAGGAATTTGAGACCAGCTTGGGCAACATGGTGAAACCCCTTCTCTACAAAAAATACAAAAATTAGCTGGGCACAGCGGTGGACACCTGCAGTCAGTCCCAGCTGATCAGGAGGCTGAGGTGGGAGGATTGCATGAGCCCAGGGGTTTGAGGCTGCAGTGAGCTGTCATCGTGCCACTGCACTCCAGCCTGGGCAACAGAGTGAGACCCTGTCTGGAAAAAAAAAAAAAAGTAATGACAAACTCACTCCTTATTTTCTAACAAAAATTTCCCCTGAAATTGACAACCACTGGTTCTACACCTGTTGATCTCTCTGTCTGTCTCCCTTTATGTCTTTCAATGTTGTCCTGCCCAGTTTTGAAGCCGTGGGTGGCGGCCTTTCAGTGCTTCTCGAGCAGCTGATTAAATCAACCTCCAACACTTCTCTTCTTATTTGGCTTCACACTCCGGGGCCATAATGCACTCACCCCAATGGCCCTTGGCCCATGTACCAAACAACTAGAAATAGCCCCCATGTCCCATAACCTGCAGAATTATGCAAATTAGCCAATCCATGGAAAGCCCTTGAAACCTAGCTAACCCCACCTAAAGTGTCCTATACAAAAACCCCCTCTTCTGCAGTGCCAGCTTGCTATTACATTTCTTCAGGAGCAGCCTCCTCTGTGTGGCTCCCTGGGTGTCGATGGCCTCCTCTCCATCCGAATGTTACTGTATTATGTCTTGCCATGAAAAGAATCTTGAAATCTTACGAAATCTTACGAAGCAGTCTGTGTAGTTTTTTACGTGTTTCTTCCACTGGGGGTCCTCTAGGCTTCTTTATCACATCTGGGGGTGGTACAGGCCGAAAGAATGAGGGTTGTGATCAACTCAGCATACCACTGGAGGCTATATCAGCAAACAGAAAACTATTCACATGAAAGCAGGATGTTGGAAAACTGACAGCTGCATCTGCCACCAGAAGGGGTGCTGAGGGCAGTTGCACCCCAAGCACAGTGTTCCTTGTGATTATCTCTAGGAACATCTGAAGCCTGTTGTACAAAGAAAGCAATTTTGTGAACCTGTGATAAATCAAGCAGCTGACCAACCATTACCTCTCCCTCCCTGCCCTTTCTACCTAATAAATACGAAGGGCTGTAAAAGTTCTGGGCCCTTGTTCACTAAGAGCAAGGAGACCCCGACCCCTTCTTTTAAAGTAGATCTTTTTGTCTTTGTCTTTATTTCTGCATTTGTCCCCCTTCGTTCAATCCAGTAGCAACTGACAGCGACAAGCAGTGCCCAAACAGGGACGTGGGCAAAGAAGTTCTGCTGGAGCAGAGAAAGTGAAACCGACCAGACGAATCAGAAACCCGGGGAAGAGTCTGCCGCTGTCAGCAGATACAAGGCCAGTGCCCTAAGGAGGTACTGGGATATAAGGTCAGTGCCCTGAAGAGGTACTAGGAATGGAAAGTTTCTGAATAAGAGTAACATGGGGCAGACTTTGTCTATTGAAGAGCAACATTATATGCAGTTGCTTAAAGTTTTACTTAAACAATCTGGTACTCAGGTTAGTTATCAAACACTAGACTAAGATGCTGCAGGAGGTTATTACTCATAACCTGTGTATATCTCGTGGTATATCTCCTAATGCTATCCCTCCCCACTTCCCCCACCCCATGACACATCCCAGTGTGTGATGTTCCCCTTCCTGTGTCCAAGTGTTCTCATTGTTCAATTCCCACCTACAAGTGAGAACATGTGGTGTTTGGTTTTCTGTCCTTGCAACAGTTTGTTCAGAATGATGGTTTCCAGCTTCCTCCATGTCCCTACAAAGGACATGAACTCATCCTTCTTTATGTCTGCATAGTATTCCATGGTGTATATGTGCCACATTTTCTTAATCCAGTCTGTCATTGATGGACATTTCAGTTGGTTCCAGGTCTTTGCTATTGTGAATGTGCTGCAATAAACATACATGTGCATGTGTCTTTATAGCAGCATGATTTCTAATCCTTTGGGTGTATCCCCAGTAATGGGATGGCTGGATGAAATGGTATTTCTAGTTCTAGATCCTTGAGGAATCGCCACACTGTCTTCCGCAATGGTTGAACTAGTTTACAGTCCCACCAACAGTGTAAAAGTGTTCCTATTTCTCTACATCCTCTCCAGCACCTGTTGTTTCCTGACTTTTTAATGATCACTATTCCAACTGGTGTGAGATAGTATCTCATTGTGGTTTTGATTTGCATTTCTCTGACAGCCAGTGATGATGAGCATTTTTTCATGTGTCTGTTGGCTGCATAAATGTCTTCTTTTGAACAGTGTCTGTTCATATCCTTTGCCCACTTTTTGATGGGGTTGTTTGATTTTTCTTGTAAATTTGTTTAAGTTCTTTGTAGATTCTGGATATTAGCTCTTTGTCAGATGAGTAGATTGTAAAAATTTTCTCCCATTCTGTAGGTTGCGTATTCACTCTGATGGTAGTTTCTTTTGCCGTGCAGAAGCTCTTTAGTTTAATTAGATCCCATTTGTCTATTTTGGCTTTTGTTGCCATTGCTTTTGGTGTTTTAGTCATGAAGTCCTTGCCTGTGCCTATGTCCTGAATGGTATTGCCTAGGTTTTCTTCTAGGGTTTTTATGGCTTTAGGTTTAACATTTCATTAATTTTTAAAAGAGATTATAATGTCTTACTATGAATAACCATACATAAGTATCATAGAAACAATATTCACATTGATTATATGTTCAAGTTATTATTTGGGGGGTTAAATGAACATATTACATATAATTAAAAGGAGGTTTTTCTGCTTGGTTTTGCTCCTTTTTAACGCAGCTATTGAAATACCTAAAATTACATCTAGACTTTGCATTATATTTCTGTTAAACTGCACTGCTCTAAGCCACTTTTAAAATTCATTCAACAAATATGTTTGTCCACCTCACATATTTCAGGCAGCAGTTTAGGGGTTGGCTATATATCAGTGACCTAAACATACAAAACACGATAACTAGAGAGAGTATATAGAATGATCATGGAATGGAAAAAATATATGTACAGATGATAAGAGGTATAAAGAATAGTGTAGATCGAGAGTTTCAAAGTACTTGGAGATTCACTCCTTTATATAGAATTCATTGGTATACGTCTCATATCTGCATAAATCCACCTATAATGACACCTATACCTTATCAGGGGTGTGCTGACATATTTCATTAATGCTCTATGTATGTCCTGCTGTCCAACGGAGCTTCATCTCTTTGACCAATGGAATTGGAAATTTTTATTTTGAAAGTATTTCAGATCCAATTCAGGCTTCATCATTAAGCATGCCCTCCTTCAAAAGTATCAGCTAAGGTTTTTCTTTTCCACTTTTCAAGTACAACAAAAATAGTACACATTCAGAATATAAACAATTCCTGAATCGTTACAGTGGACACCACCATGTAAACTCACACCCAGATCAAGAAACAGAACATCAGTAGCTGCTGGACGTCTCTGGGACCCCTCCAGTCTCTCCTTCCTAAGGTGTCCACTCACTGGAAGAATAATACCATCTAGTGTAATCATTTCTAGCATGAATTCCTCCTCAATAATTTTACAAAATCTTGGCTGAGCTCTATCTGAGACATCTCGAGTATGATCACCTCATGATTCGTGTCCTGTTCTGTGTCCATGGGATGCCTCTGCAGACCTCCCCCTCCAGGGCTCCCCGTGATTCCCTTCACATTGCATTTGGTCTGCTCATGAGAAAGAAGACCCACGGTCGGTAGACTCTAAATTTAAAACACCCATCTTCGAAATACATTTCGATTGTAAAGAAAATGGAAAACATTTTGCCAGATGAAATATATTCATGTATTTATGTATGACAAATGTGAACATTATAAAAGTTGAAAGTACAGAGAAAGTCATGTTCATCAGATTACATATTTCTAAGACAGTCACACAGGCACAGTAAACATTTTGGCATTTGTTGTATGTGTTTCGTGGGTAACATTATACACTGATAGGTTGTAGTTTACAACTGGACGTTCGTTTGGCCTGGCTGATTGCCTCTGGTTGTGGCACTTGCCTGAGGATAGTACTTAAAATGTACTTGTTAAAGGAGTTAAATAAATAGCTCATTTTATATTATGTACTTGATGATAGGTGTTTGTCATATGAGATTGTACGTTTTCTGTACAGTTGAAAGTATTCCTACCTATGACTTAAACAGGACATAATATGCCATGTAGCTACGTCTCCGTGGCTTACCTGAACCTCCAGTATTAGCCCACATTTAATGCATTCTCATTTCTCACTATAGGTGCCCTTACTCAAGGGACATTTGCCTTGAGTGAGGGAAATGAGGGAAATCCCTTCCCCAATCCCTTGAGGAAGGGATTGATAGGTAATAGTTTCAATGGGAGAATAGGCGGGAGTGATAGATGAGAAGGAAAACAACTGGCCATGAGGGACAGATGTGGGGAAACTAGCTGCTTCCTTTGCTGCATTATCAGCATAAGTGTTGTCTCCGGTTTCCTTGGGCAGTGGAGCAGCCTGAAGGAGAAGTTTTATTAAGGAAGCATTGACGATGGAGGAACCTTGTGTAGTGAGAAAACCTCTTTCTGCCCATATAACAGCATGGTGATGTAGGATGTGGAAGGCATACTTGGAATCAGTGTAGATATTGACACGTAGTACCTTTGCAAGGATAACAGCCTGGGTTAAAGCAATGAGTTTGGCTTGTTGAGAGGCAGTGGAAGGGGGCAGGGCAGTAGCTTCAATGACAGATGTGAAAGACACTACAGCATAGCCTGCCCTTGCCGGTGACTGACGATTGGGCCTTGAAGAACTACCATCAATAAACCAAGTGTTTATGGGAATGCAGCCGGGTAGGTCTCAGCCTCATTTTGTCCAGCTCCTACTCAAGATGGAGTTGCTCTGGTTCACATGTCTCTGACAAAATGTCTATGGAGGCTAGGCGCGGTGGCTCACACCTATAATCCCAGCACTTTTGGAGGCTGAGGCGAGTGGATCATGAGGTCAGGAGTTCAAGACCAGCCTGGCCAACATGGTGAAACCGTGTCTCTACTAAAAATACAAAAATTAGCTGAGCATGGTGGCACAAGCCTGTAATCCCAGCTACTCGGGAGGCTGAGGAAGAGAATTGTTAGAAGCTGAGAGGCGGAGGTTGCAGTGAGCTGAGATCGCGCCATTGCACTCCAGCCTGGGCAACAAGAGCGAAACTCCGTCTCAAAAGAAAAAAAAATGTCTATGGCAGGCGTGCGGTCTCCCATAGCTGGGACATCAGCGGTCTGTGGTGAGAGCCTGCCGTCCCTCTGTCCCTTCACTCACCCCTCCCCTAGGAGCCTTTCAGTGCTGGGAACTGGCCCTAGCGTTCCGCTACCCCACACCACATTCCCAGGTTCCTCGTTCTTCAGCCCTGGCGTCTGCATCGCCTCTGTATCAACTCTTGGTGTTTTCTCTCCGAAGATCTGCTCTAAGTCTGCTGGTTTACCCAGTATCTTGGTTTCTCTCGGTGGGAGTGGTGCTTCCGGGCTGTGTCCAGCCAGCCATCTTGACCCTCCTCTAGGCGTGATTTTGAAAATGTAATCTGCTCCCCTGACTTCCTGGAGACATACGCCGAATGGGAAATGTGTCTGCGAGACATTACAACATCCCGAGGCGCCTTCTCCTCATCGGGAGGGATCAGAGGCTGCCCTTGCTCTTCTTCCGGTCGTCTCTTGTGAGATGTGAGGCTTCATGTGAATACTGTGTGGAGCCACCACCACGGAAGGCCGGGGGGACACCTGGAGCAACGTTCCTTCCTTGTGGTGTTTTTGGAGCCCATGGATCAGCCTCCCTGGGGTCAGTCCTATCTCCTGTCCTTGCATTCAGTAGAGCCAGGACACGCTCTATATAGTTTTATTCCATTGAAGTTGAACTTTCAGTCATTTGCCACACAAGAGTTGACACAGATCCAGAGGACATTGCAGATTGCTGCCCTGGGTGATTTAAAAAATTAATCTGGAGACGATATTAGGAGATAGGGTGTTGTAGACCTGGATCCATTACTTGCCAGTTAATGGAACTTTGGTCTTTGGAGTCTTTACTCTTTTTTTCTGAGACAGAGTCTCACTCTGTTGTCCAGGTTGGAGTGCAGTGGTGCGATCTCGGCTCACTGCAACCTCCGCGTCCCAGATTCAAGCGATTCTCCTGCCTCATCCTCCCAAGTAGCTGGGATTACGGGCATGGGCCACCACGCCCGGCTAATTTTGTATTTTTAGTAGAGAAGGGGTTTCTCCATTATTGTCAGGCTGGTCTCGAACTGCCAACCTCAGGTGATCCGCCTGCCTCAGCCTCCCAAAGTTTTGGGATTACAGGAGTAAGCCACTGCGTCCAGCCTGCATTCCATTTATCTTTGCCACACTGTATATATTATGTATGTACTGGATAAACGGGTCCTAATTTTATAATATCTAGTCTTTAGCTCTTAAAGAGTTTATCAAGATATGACAAAAGCAGAGTTAGTAAACTAATATATTTCGTACACTTTGTGTTAACATTAATTAAAACGCTATCTTCTGAAAAAGACTTTTGGAAGTGAAATGGTAACATCAGCTCTCAGTGACACACGTCACTTAGAAAAGAAGCCTAGTGGCTTCTTTTTAATGGACTTGTATTTTTAACTTCACATACTCAAATGAATCAATAAAACTCATATGAATATATACCTTGCTTTGTTTTAATAACGACGTATTTTTATTTTTTTTCATAAAATTATGGCGTTCAATCTTCAAATGCAAAAGTTCAGTTCTACTTCAAGTGAGGGTATAGAAAAATAACGAAATGCCGTTTCTCTCACCATAACAATAATAAAGCACATGGAGCGGCAGAATGCGAGTCCGTGAAGACTTTTATGAATTCCGAGGCTTAACCCCAACTTGGGCATCCACTGCTCTGATATAATTCCCATTTAAAGGCCCTGAGACCCGCACTAGCAGGTCAACCCCCGCCCGATCTCACAGGCACACACGGGATAGACAGAACTGCACAGACTTTAAAAACCATTCTGTACGCCCAGGTTGGAATGTGATTGGTGCTACCTCGGCTCACTGCAGCCTCCGCCCTCGCCGGGTACCTTGTCAGAATAGACATACTTACATTATTCTAGTAATAACAGCAATAGATAAAATGTTAAAGGAACAACGTATATATAATACCAATACCATTAAGAAATACCTTGAGTTCTCCGATTGAGAGAGGTTTTGTTACTGTTCCTTGCTTTTTGTGGTGAATGGCTGGAGCCATCAAACCAGAGTGTCCATAAAGTCTGGTTTTTCAGGTTTTATCAGGAGAATGTTTCCTTTCTGGAGCCCTGTCATATATAAACACAACTGCCTGACTTTCTCACCCTGGGTCTTCGGGAAAACGTGTTCATCAATGGATGGAAAAGTCATTATTGTCGAAGCCATCGGTTAAAAAGATTTAAAAGTTCAACGAATTGTTATTTATCTACGATATTTTCTTGAGGGAAAGGCATGGGGATACGCCCCATGGGTGTCCTTCCCGTACGATATCTGTCCCCAAAAGACTGTGTGAATGGGTCACATGTGGCCCAGCCTCCTCTGTTTGGACCACTATGGAATTCAAGGTATGGCATCTCTACTCATTCTCCATTTCCAATGAGAACGCTGGATTCTCTCTTACCACAACATCCAATCGGACTGATGCCCTTTAGCAAACCTCTGCTGGTCTACAGATAGGAACAACGAGGAGAGTGGGTCGCGCGGTGTGCGAGCGAAGGAGCTGGTTCCTGGAAGAGCAGCTCCAGGGCCCGGTCCTTATCTTCATCCACACACAGACGTCAGGGAGATTCTATTGGGCTTATAGGGCAGTGTCTTTGCCTGTCCACCAGCTCTCTCATTCCTCGACCGCGAAACTCATTTGTCTTGGTTGGAGAATCATTCGAGCACTCCTTTCAGTGTCCCCAATCCGCGGTGGTTCTTCACAAAGGATGCACCTGGATTTCGAAAGGGGTGAGGGTTGTGGTATCTCTGATGAATTGCTCCTCTTTACAGGATTTGGGAGCCCGCACCCTAAACGAAGATTCACCTAACCTCCATGGCGGGGGCTGGGTCTTCACTGTGGTTCGTGTTGCGCTAAGCCATATTCGATTTCGGATGTTGGTTTGGGAGTAGTTGTTAGCTGTCCAGGTTCTTGTATTAACCTGTTAGTCCTCTATAGTTACTATATATTTCTCAATAGTCTAATATAGAACCTAT